ATAGATAGATAGATAGATAGATAGATAGATAGATAGATAGATAGATAGATAGATAGATAGATAGATAGATCAAACACATAATTGTGGATATCGACATTCTTTTTGTAATTGATCCTGTGTCTAATCATCCAAAAAAATTAAACCCCCACTACTGTCTCAGGTAAAAATCGATGGGATTTAGGTCAAACTGGTTTCTTACAGAACAAAGACCATTGCTATGCCCCTATCCCATTCATAAAACGTCTCGGTGCCCCTTGACACTTTGAGACGTGGTCCCGGGAAGCTGAGATAGAACCACCCCCACCAATGAAATATAAAAATAAGAAGAGAGAGAGACACACGGAGAGAGACACTGTCTGTTGTACCGGTGGGGGCCGGGCTTCCGGTGACGACGCACTGCAGCCTGACTTCGGAGCCACTGCGTGCCGCCATGTCCTCCAGAGGCTTCTCGAACGCCGGGCCCTCGCCCGTTTCCTCGTCGGCCGAGAGGTAGGAGTCGTCCGAAGAGCCCCCTGCGAACAAGACGGACGAGCTCAGACGGAAAATTCACGTGGAGCGTTTAGCGATTTGGTTAGCTTTCTTTTTAGCTTTTCTCTTTCTTTTTGCTCAGTCCGCCAGGGCGAATCCAATAAAAAGTCTTCTTTATGACAATCAGCATTTGTTCCCCTATCTTCTGACTGACTGACAAGTTGTATTCTTGTCCAATCTCGGTGTTCAGGTTGGGAACAAATTCCCACAGAACGAATTTGGTGGGTACTTCTCGTTTTATTTGTCTATCTCGTTCTTTTCTTTAACATGACATGTCTCCTACCTTCTTCTGACGTCCTGGGCCGAGCCGATCGTCCCATCTTGCTCTTTCGAACCCTTCCATCCCTCTTCCCGGTCCGGCTCGGGGCGGTTCGGCTCTCCATGGATTCGTCCTCGATCAGGATCGTGGGGATGTCCGCTTTCGGGGCGGCCGGAGAATGCCGACCGGCTTCGGCCCTCCTCTTCTTCGAGGTCGGGCTGGAGGACAGGGTGGGCGACGGGGATAGCCTGGAAGGTTTGGGCGGGTGGCGGGACCCTGGATCCCTCTTCCCCGTTGGGCTGGGTACCCGGTCGGTCTTTGAATCCGGTCCTGTGTCTTTGGAGGGGGACCGAAGGCTTCTGGACGCAGTTTTGCCGGCCGCCTGCGGTCCTTGATCGCTGTGTGGAAAGACGAGAACACTGTTCCGTTATACTGGGTAAGAAAAATGTCCCCTATAAAATTCCCGTTATGTGTCTACTTTGGAGAGGTACTGGTCAAATCTTACAACGAAAAAAATTTCAACAGACATGGATAACTCTGGATATTCTGTTCTCCGGACCTGGTTTGGCTTTTCCTTGGAGCCGTTGGCACCGGTTGTCCTGGTAACTGGTGAACCGGCTGCGTTTCCATGGTAACAGAGCTTTCCCCCACGCTTTTTCCCATTGGAAAATCCACCGTTCGCGCCGTCCCGTCCCTCTCCTTCTTCCCACCGCCCGGGTCTCCTTCCTCCAGGGCCCGCCGCCTGGCCTCCAGCTTTTCCACCACGCGGGGGGGGATGGGCTCGATTTTCCCGGTGGCCGGCCCGCCCTCCCTCGGCGAGAGCTGCTCGACGGAGTAGGCCTTCCTCAGGCCGGGCTTCCCCACCAGCTTCTTGATCCTCTGGAGCTCCTGGGCGAACTTGTTCTGGTAGCCCTGGACCTTCTGGGAGTAGCCGGTCTCGTCCTCCAGCGAGGAGGCCCGCTTCTGGAACGCCGCCCTCCTCTTCGTCCTTCCATCCTCCTCCTCATCCTCCGCCCGCCGCTGCTCAAAAGCCCGGACCTTGTCAAAAATCTTGGGCCCCGCGCGAGCCATTTTGGGGGTCGTGGCCACTCCGGACGACCGGACGTTCTTGGGAGCCCGGGGGTCGGAGGGCTCGCGGTTTTCCGGTTCCCGCTTCCGTGCGTCGACGCCGTTTTTGTTTGCGCCGAAAGGTGCCTGGGGGGGCAACAGGGGGGCACAGGAGGAAAGCCCCCGTGGCTCCTCTGCTGTTTGAGTCCTAAAGGAATGAGGATTTAAGGGGGGAAATTGAAGGCGTGGAGTTAGATTTTTTTTTTTTTTTAGCATAGCGGCGAGGCTTCGGAGTACTAGTGAAAGTAGTAAAAAATGAACGTCCATTCACGGGTTATTTTGTTATAAAAATGCGTCCGTATTCATCCGTTATGCTCCTTGCGTTTGGTCTGTGCTCTTTGGGTCTCACCTCAACAGCAACGCGTCAGAAAACGTCAAACAAAAGCAACACAAGTTGTTCCCAAAGTCGGTAAAGTATAACAGAAAACACAAGACTCCACAATCGAAGTATCATCTCTAGAAAAAGTGCCCTTGTTTCAAGTCCAAATACAAAAAAATACTTGAAAAAAAACACCATGCCTTAAAGAACAAGTTAGGTGATCGTTAATAGGTGACAACGTTCATGCTAAATAGAAGTGGGATCAAAGCTGGCAACCCATGCAGCCACAGCAAAACCTCTGGAAAATGTGGTTTTAATCCAAGAAAAAAAGGGTTGCTGCCCTTAAACAAAGAAAATACATGCAGCGGGTTAAACAACAAACCAAAACAGAATCGCAGTTTTCGGAATTTCTGACTATAAATGAGCTGAATAAACAATTGTCTCCTAACTTCGTAGCTATAATAAATGTTCACAATACCGGCACTGCTGTTCTGTTACATAGTGTTTGTTAGACGGAAATCAACCCCCCCCCCACACACAGCAAAAAGGCGAGTCAAAGGAAAGTGCGGTCGAAACAAAACAAAGATGGGGGGAAATACTTGAATATGTGAGATGAAAGTGAAAGTAAATGGACAAATTTGACTTGTGGTGTCTGTAAAGGAGAGTGTGAAAGTCTTCTTTACAATTAAGGGGGTGGCCAGTCTTTTTTGTTTGTTTTTTTTGTTTGTGTTCCCGGAAAATACATATGTAGAGCCGTGTGCTATAAGGGCATGGAAAACGTTCTCCCCCGGTAGAGGCTGAACATGCTCCCGTAGTAGTCGCTGCCGACCGAGACACTTTCCTCTGACCCCTGCACGGGCCGGGCCAGGTTAGCGTGGGAGGCGCGGACCAGCGGCTCCACGCCCAGGTGGCGGACCGGCGGGGGCCCCTCGGGGGGAGCCCCGCCCGGGGCTTGCCTGGCCGGGTTGGCGGGGTCCAGGTGCGGCCCCGGGGGGCGGGAGCCCAGGGCCCGGAGCTCCCGCTCCACCACGGGGTCGTAGGTGCCGGGGAGGGTGGCCCTGCGGTCCGCGGCGTCCGGGTTATACTCCATCATCCTTCCTCCCTCACCTTTGACGAAAGAGACTCTGGTTACATTTGTATTTTTTCCATTCGGAATTTAATTATTTACCAAATGCTGATCGGAAATTAACTCATTGACTGCCAGCCATTTTCAGAACAGAGAGTCCCATACTGCCAGAGTTTTTTGAGCATTTTGACTGATTTTTCGAGAGCCACAGAATAGTTGTGCTATGACTATGTAAACACCGAACACACCAAAAGAAAGAGTAGACTCGCTTCTTTCATCAGGAAAATTGTTTTGTTTCTACTTCATTCCGTTCTTCCTCGACTTGCGTCTCACCCGCGTCATGTTCTCTCATAGCGAAGCATTACCTTTTTCTTATTTGCCTACAATCTATGCTCATCTGCCATCAAAAGTGGCACTGCCACCTAGAGGGTCAGTTTGTTAGTACATACTCTGTCTAGAAGCCTGATATTTACGGACAAGTTTTAGCAGATCGTCCCCCAAACCACTCTCGTTGAAAAACATAAAAGACGTCTATCGACGTCTTTGGCAGCCAATGAGTTAAAAATGTCACATAAATGTTATTTCCAAGTGTTTTTCGACACATCGCTGTAAAAAAAAAAAGGCTGAAGATGCAAGAAAAAAAACATTTAATATCATTTAATGGACACGATTAACCATTCCAATCTCTTTTCAAAGCCTGAATGTACACCAAAGTGAGCCATGTCCACTTAAAAGGGATGGAAGTAATGCTTTTCTAATTCATTAATAGTGAAATGAAGAAGGGCTTGACTGGTAGAAAAAAAGGACACTGGCAAAAAAAAAGGAGTGCGGGATCATCACAAAGAAAGAAGAGGAGCATAAACTGGCGGATAAACTGTCTGGATCGATTGCTTGTAAAAAGGGAAGCGACACAGAAAAAAAAAAGAAGGGCTGTGTTTGGAGCCTCAACCCCCCCATCACAAATCAGGTTAAGACGACACTTTAAGGAGGCAGGAATGCCTCAGCTGCAAAAAGAAAGAGACGTCAGCATCTTTGGCTAATAAGGAAATCCTGGAACAGGCGTGGAGAAGAGGATATCTTCCACAAAACCATGGCCGGGTATCACTCGCATCTTCTGTCAAACTATCATCTAGGATGACATTTTTGTCTCTGTTTGCATGCAAATTGCAAATGAGGCTCTCAGTTTTTTCTTCCTGGAGAAAATGAACTAGCATCATCTCATTTCGCTCTCGATTCGGAAGCCCTTTATTTTAAAAACGGCACTAACAGGGAGGCTAGGGAAGTGCTTACATCGAGGGAAGAGCTAAACATGTCTGATAAACGAGACGGGGGTCAATATTTTGATTCCATATATTGACTTTTTTTGGTTGCCTGGTTAGGAATGGCCTCTGAGGTCATTTCAGGATATATTTCTTTCCAGCCCTGAGAGGAAAAGTCTAGACTTTTAGACCATCATGCATTGATACCCAATAGAAACTAGATACTATTGAAATGTGACTGAATATATACTTTGTCATGTTGTAAAAAATGGTCTCAGATAACCTTACGTTTATAAATATAATTGCATATAAAAACTGTTGTCCCTATCATGTTGTTTTTAGTTTGATGGTGGTGAAAAGGGACAATATGCCCTCCTTTGAAACTAAAATGTGGAAATGTATATATAATTTATTAAAAAATAATGTTCATCTTCAGAAAATGTGATAAAAAATAAACATAAGAACAGCATCTAAAAACATATTTAGTTCAAACTTATGACTGATAATTATCTTATTGGATCATTTTCTTTGTAAAAATTGCAAATAGATAAAGAAAATGGCCCCACGGTAGAATAGAAAAGTTCCATTATAGCTCTACGTTGATCATCTGAATTCATTGAACTGGGAAAGGGACAGTTACATGCACACAGTGGGAAAAAAATAATAAAAAATTGAGTCAAAAAAGAAGAAACCGTCTGTGTATTTCGGATTGTACATGCTTGGAGGAGCCACGTGGTGAGAGTCAGACCTGTGACAGGTTTCCCTGCTGGAAAACTAGGGCAGTGTGTCACCGTGTGGGTATCGGATTTCATCCAACAGACATCATCAGCCAAGCCGATAACGCATTCAATCCATCAATCCGCATTGATATATTATTTTTTTTGGGCATCAGGAGCTGGCGGTTGTGTAAATCATACTGTTTGCTACATCAATAAAAGGATTGGCCAACTGCTTAATGGGCTCATTTCTTAAGTGGAGTGCATCTAAGTGGTGCAAAATGTATTACTTTTAACCAAGAATTCGACTTAAATGTCAGTCGTTTGATGCAAGAACCGTTTAAACCTTGTAGAAACAGGTTTGAAATACCTGAGGGACCTCTCCTGCCGGCTTTTTCCTCTTTGGTTTCCACCTGAGGCTCTGTGGTCTCATCCTCTGTGGTCTCTGAGTCTGAAAAAAGCAGTAAAAAAAGCATAAGCGGCATAGAAATTGTGCTACGGATTCAAATGCAATGAGAAATAGGAGGCGGGGGGGGGGACAGGATGGAAAAAAAGGTGTGACGGCACGTGTGATGAGATCTTTTTGGGGGCAAGCCAGAAAGTGAAAAAAAAAAAAAAGATTCAATAGTAAAAGAAGGGGTGCAGAGCTCCTTTTCCTTCGAGTTTAGACCATTTTGAGTCAGGTCATCAGTTTTAATATAAAAGAGAAGATCAACAACACGTATACTATTCAAATAATGACATAATATTAAAAAAATATATATAAAATATATATATTTTTATATATATATATATGCATACATGTGCATGTGTTTACATGTTTTTTCTATATAATTTTTTCGCTAATAAAAGCAAAGAAGGAAACCAACCTAAGACCAAAACTAGTAGAGGAATAATGGGTTGTTTCCTTAAAAAAAAAAAAAAAAAGGCAAAAAAGAAATGCAAACTTTCAAAATATGTCAAACAAAAACGCCAAATCACACAAAACTGAACCTCGAACATGACTTCCGTACACATAAAAGACCACAAAAGTGTATAAAAGAAAAACCAAGGATAGAAAATATATATAATAGCAGAGAAGGGGAGGGGAGGAGGGGGGGGGAAGAAGAGAGACCGTATTTGCCGAGCAAGCAAATCTTGAACATAAAAAATGGCCTGAGGGAGACACAAACCACAGACAGGGGTCAGAACGGATGGATTGACAGAGGATGGATAGAAAGAAGGGGGGGGGGAGGAAGGAGGCTGAAGGAGGGTTGTTTTTTTGTTAGTTTTACCGTAGCTTTGCTTTCGGCAGGAGCGGAAAACTTCGCTTCCATAGTGGCAGCAAGAGAGGGCAGACGGGAGAGCACCGTTACTATGGAAACCAGCATCCCTCTCACCCACACGACCAATCCTCCTCGTACCCATTAGAGTCTAAAACCCGCCCGGCCAGACCGCCGGGAGGCCGGCGGATACGTTTAACTGGTTAGAGAGCCTGCGAAGAGGGAGGGGGGGGGGGACGACAACCGCTAAACAGGCGTCAGATCCTTCTAAGATCATTCTGGAAGGTGTTCCTAACGATCAGAAAGCGACTGAGACGTCAACAATCGCCATTAACTCAGCTCAGGGGGGGTGTAGGAGCGCCCGACTGAACGGAAACCCAGAAAAAGTCGGGAGAAATATGGAGTTTTAGAGGATTTTTGTAGAAACCGAATCTCCAGGTTTCATCAGCCATGGTTTTGCTCGAGGTTTCTGCCTGTTAAAAGGAAGTTTTTCCTTGCCTGTGTCGCCTAGTGCTTGCTCATGGTGGGAATTGTTGGGTTTCTGTAGTTAACTTCAGAGTAGGGTCTGACCTGCTCTGTTTGGAAAGCGCTGTGAGACAACTGTTGTTGTGATGTGGCGCTATATAAATAAAATTGAATTGAAAATTGAATTGAATGTAAACAAGAGTCATTTAGATCGAGCGTTACTCAGCATGCATCATAAATTCCAGAACAATCGACAATAAAACTGTATACGCAAGGCGTCTTCCATGTCATAGATGTATGCAGAAATGCCATTACAATAAAATCCATCATTAATCTGAACTTTCAAAAACAGTGATGCGTACAAAAAAGCATTCAAGTAAAATGATAAATAGATAATAAATGAAATAAATAATACACAAGCCAAAAAAAAAAGAAAAGAAAGAAGGAAAAACAATGGAAAAAAGAGAAAAGGGACTATAAAGAAGAAATAGTTCCAATAGTTATTGTAGCTTAGATTTCTAACGGATGAACATAAGAATTAAATTAAAAAAAATAAGGAGTGAACATGCTATTTTTGAGTAGAAACAAATTGGTGTCGAGCTCATACTGACAACACACCATGGGTAAATCTGCCAAATGTCCGCGTGGAATGCCCAGTTCTCTGTAACAAGATACAAGAGTACAGTAAATTAATGATTCAACAGCAATTACAGCCAAAAGATTCTGTTTAACAGGGAGAAAAAACACAAAAAGTTCCCATTTGGCCTCAAAGCTTCCCTCAAATCTGCCATTCCAAACGTCAAAAGGTGATATTTCGAGAACAAAAAATAAATAAAAGCACCTTTTTTTTTGGCAGTGGTGCATTCAGATGCATTTTTCCATTCTTTTTTTTCATTGGTCTAAAAAAAAAAATAAAAAAAATATCCCGAGGATATAATTGGACGCATGTGCTTTTTAAAAGCCCTTTAAATGCTCAAAACGGAGAGGGGCGATTGGACTAAAAACCGTCAGGTGGAGCCAGGAGTTTAGATTTTGTCCCATTCTTAACAGAAAGTTCATTTCTTAACAGAAAGTTCTCAAAAATGCTTCACTTTTGTAAAAGAAATCATAAATAAAACCTTGGCGGGGGTGCATAAAGCCTGAATACAGTTGAAAGTATTAAAAAATAAGCCGCTATGCATCCTGGGAGAGGGGGGTGTCTTGTGAAGTGAATGTCCATGCTGATAAAGCAGTAGACAAAAAAACAACACAAAAAAAACAAAAAAACTGGTTGTTTCCAGTCTGCCAACAAGGACCACGGAGAGCTCCTCCAAAAATGACTCATGGCTTTGCAGCAGATGGAAAGCAAAAAGGAGCAAAAGCCCAAATGAAACCACCCCCCCCCACCCCCCAATCCCCCCCCCCCCAGCCCCCAGAAGCTGCCATTGTTGTCGCGATCCCTCAGGCACATCCTATCAACCCAAAAACCCCGGCTTCAAACAAGCCTCCTTTTCAGAAAATTTTTGGGGAAAAATCCGGCATATGCTCGGAATTTCAATCCGATTTGCGTTCCCGGAAGGGTTTTTTTTTTTTGGGAGGTTTTACGTGGAGCTGAAAAAGGAAAGAGGAGGCACTTTTTGGAGCCTCCTTTGCGAGCGGCTGGCCTCGTTCTCACGTCTCAGAGGGGGAGCGTAGCCCACTGACACACTTTTGAATTTTTTGCGAATCCCCTTTTAAATCATTTACTTTTCGTAGAATGACCAAAATCCAGGCTGAGGTCACACGGTTCCACGTTTCCACGCCACACAATGTGGACAGAGTCAACGAGGGCGTGTTTGGATGTCAGAAAATCTGAGTAAATTATCCTTTTTTTTCCCCACCTAGTCGTCTCTTGTTTTTCTTTTGACATTTCCATTTCTTTAAGTACGTAAAAAAGTCTTATACATGATTTTTCTTGTTTGTTTCCATTTCTTTAACAAATATCAGACAACTAAGATGGAAAACAGACATCCCCGACATCCAGAATTTACCTGCTTTGATTATTTATTGCGGTTTTAAGGGATAAATACTCATTTAACGACTCCTATTTGCAATTAAAGTTCATTTTACTGCCTTTTTTTGCTTTATAAAGCGTTGTTTTCAGGTAAAGGGTGTGGCATCTCAGTCCAAAAATGTAGAAAAAGAAAAGACCGACATACATCCAAAAACATTACAGATCTTATATGAACAGTAACTCCCCCTCCTAAACGCCCCCTCCTTCAGATTTTGTCCTTTCAAATATGAAAGGGGGAACTTACCTGGAACCGCTTTTTGGACCAGATTTTCTTCATAATTCAAATCCTGTCAAGCGAAGATGACCTGTGGCATGAGCTCACAAAAAAAAATCCCCCATCACCACAAAAAAAATAAAAAATGGTGTGAGGATGAACAATAGAAAAAAAAAGAGAGAAAGGCTTCAGCTCCCCTTTTTTTCGCGGTGGGTGTGCTTTATCCACGGTTCTGGACGAGGAGAAGGGATGCTGAGGGACGAGGAAACGCACATCCAGCCCGGAGCCAGGTGTCTTTTGTCTGAGCGTGAGGAGCGTCCCCCCCTCCCGTGACGTCAAGGGCTGCTTATTTAGACCCTCTCCCCCCCCCCCCCCCTCTCTCTCTCTCTCTCTCTCTCTCGTCTGCTCTCCCCCTCGGTAAAGAGCGCTCTCGAACAGCGAGGAGGTGGGAGGTGGGAGGGGAAAATCAGAAGAGGAGGAGGAGGAGGTGGGAAATTAGGGGGAAAAAAAGCAACTGCCTTATGCCGGGTTGTTTTGTTTGAATTTTTTAGGAAGGGAGGGGGGCAAGCAAAGATGGCAGAGAGAAAATAGCAAAAAAAAACTCATGTAAAAGGGGAAGAAAGAAGGATGATGATCCGGGGTTGGAAGCGAGAGGCAGAGGATGCGCAGATAGTTGAAGAGGCAATTTAGGGGGGGGGGGGGGGGGAATAAGAAAAAACAGGAAATGGCTGATGGGGCTGGAGGAAAAGGGGGGTGGGGTTCAAACCACATACAGTAACCTTATGCTATTACGGCAGCATCTTTTCCGTTTAAGGAATGATCCACCCCCAAAACAAAACCCAGAGGCCATCAAATATTTATCTTCTAGGTTCTAGAAGAGATCTAACTAGAGATCAAATCACAGCCGCAGGGCAGGTTGACTTTATTTGATCTGCAACAGCAAACTAATTGCAAACAAAACAGATTGCAACGACAGTTTTCAAAATAAAAGCTTATCATTTAGCCAGCAAATTGGGAAAGAATGCAGTTGATCTACTGACAACTAACAAAGATGTTACTTTACAATATAAAGAAGCCTAGCAAAAAGCCATGGTTGTCACATGTAACGTCATAGAAAATGATCTCATAACCCCAAAAAAACCTAAAGAATAGTCGACCGAGGCCAACAGTAGAGTCAGGTTCTGGTCTCCCGATGAGGCCCAGAGTCAGAACTTAACAAGGCGAAGCTTCATTTCTGCTCCATGCTCCTAAAATCTTGAACCGTCTTCCTGAAGACGTCTAATTTTTAGTATTTTTCTTATCTTGTTTTTCTGCTTTTCAATTCAATTCAATTCAATTCGATTTTATTTATATAGCGCCACATCACAACAACAGTTGTCTCACAGTGCTTTCCAAACAGAGCAGGTCAGACCCTACTCTGAAGTTAATTACAGAAACCCAACAATTCCCACCATGAGCAAGCACTAGGCGACACAGGC